GCTAAAAGCTTGCTTTATTAACTAGCCCATTATCCGGGATTATCGGGACGCATTTGTGAAGTTACAAAAGGGCACTCTTTTTTCAATCTGATAGTATTTTATCCGTTTATCTCGCGATGTCGACGCTGGAAATTGCACCCAGTCGAGCGCGTTTTATTCCATTTATCTTATTATCGAAGATTGTTGTTTTAACGTGGACCGATTTCATTATAGATTATTTCCTAGACTTACATTTATTTATACCCTTTCGTTGTTACTCGGATCTCTTGACAAACAGAGTTTGCATCCATAGTTTATTTATACAGCGTGTACATCGTACGCTCGCAGAATTAGAATCCACCGTCTTGTCATGCACCTACTTCGGTTATCAAATCATGAAACTCTTAATGAAAGATAACGGTTTAACTGCATTCACCCTCGAAGCAGACGAACTATGTCAACTTGCTTAGATGCCAGACTTCACGAACTGTTTGGTACGAGCGGTTTCATGGAATCCAATTACAATAGTTGGATTGACGATGAACTATTGTTGTCTGCCTAACATTCGAGGCGAATTTATATTAAGAGCAGTGCAAGCGTCTGTGTCCAGTTCTCTGCTCAAAATGGATCGTTCAGTCAACCCGGTAATTTGTTTCTTTCCAGTGATCGATATAATATTTACGCTACCCAAATACGTATACACTGTTCAGACTCGAGCAAGCTCTTTTCTAAAAACAGCGCGTGAAAGACGGTGTATTTTTCATTCCACAATTTTCAAAACCCCACGTAAAAAGAACAAAACAGCTATTTATAACGAGAAAGATTTCAATAAGTCGTGCAAACAAATCTCTCTGAAAAGCCAAACGTAAAAGTTTTTTTAACACGTGCATATATTTAACTGTACTAAATAAAATTAAATTTATATTTCAATGCAGCCGTGAACTGAAAAGTGTAGCCAACTTGTTATACGCAGCCAGAGCATACTTGTCTACTTCAAGACTTAATAATATAACGAAAGTTGGCTTAGACACCGGTGTAGATTTCAATTCCTTTCACACGTATTTATTTTACATAATTGTATACGAGATATTGCACCCACAAATTTTACATTCATCATTGTACAAATTGGAGGAATTATTTATTGAATATTTTTTGAAGCGTGGTTAACAATAGAATCAATTAACAGTTTTTAATACCACTTTTGGTTCACGTCTGAAACTGTCTCGGAAGCTTGTGCAATTTCGTTCGATTTGATATCCACGTCTGACCAATATCGACTATTTCTACTTGCGTTGGCGTTTGGAAACATTGACGGTGACACGGTATTATCCGCTTTAACTGATTCTAACTAGCTTCCAGATAGCAAGATCGACAGAAATCAGATAATATTATACCAGTATTAATATTTACAAAAGTCAAAACAAGTAGTAACAACGAGCAATGGTCAGCCACGCATCTATGGACTTTTTAGAATAAATTTTCTCGAACGAAAGAATTTCACTCTGCATTTTTCTGCGATATTTAAAATCGTTCGATGCCCCCTAAACTTGTCACGAAATTTCACTCGGTCGTTAGAACGTTGCCTCTATCGTGCGTGAGTTGCAGTATTCAAATTGAGCAGTTCCATGCGATTTCCTTCAAACGCAAAGTAGGTGCTGTGTGAAGCTATAAAGGCAGCTCATGCACGATGCTCACGATGTAAAAGGAATCCCTCTTTTCGGCCATAAAAAGCGTTTTCATGACAGTAATAAAGGGGAGTTGCTAATGCCTATTAGCATATCGGTTGTTACCGCGTACCGGTCTCGTAAAATCCAATTTCTTTGTTATTTCTGAACGACAGTATAAATAATGGTGAATATAGAACAAAAATTGACACGTCACGTTTTATTTTGCGGTTGTTGTAAACCGGTTGATACAATTCTCGATCGTATTTACGCAGCTTCGATCCCCAGTTTAAGCTTCGATCGCGTTTCGATGTTACGGAGCGAGTCTGGCTTGTTACGTGGGCGGAGAACGCAGAAACGAAAGACTCGATCCGTCCTAAGGGCGAGACGTATTGTAAAATCTGACCTTGTCTCTGAAATCCTTCGTCGTTATGCGTCTCGACGTCGTGGAAACGATAAATGCGTTCCAGCGATGCGAGTACGTGAAGCGAGACTCGTTTAAAGGAAACCATGTCGAACATTTTTCTAAGGACGCGGGTTAAAGGAGCAAACCGAGCTCTAATCGATTCAATTAAGATGGATTTCGAGCATCGTACAATGCATATTTATGTTTACCGGCATCCTGAAAGAATTTAAATATTCAACGTTTCGGCGTTGTTCGCTGTTTGCTGACGCTGGTTCTTTCAGCAATTTTCGATGATGGAAAGCTCATTGTTGTCGGTAAATATGGCGTGTTTATGCAACATCGCAGGTGCAAATATTTTCTCCTTTCCTCGGGCGTTTTCGTTGCATCTTTAATACTTGAGTTTAAGAATTCGTATTCGATAGTTCGTATTCGAGATTTTGAATATCGTTTAGATAGATTGGAATGTAATTTGAGTAATCTGACCATGGATGGCTCTGAAACATTGTTTTTGTAAACATCGATGTCGTTAGTATTTATACCCTCCTTTTTTAATATCAAAGTATAGAATGTTATATCTCATGGTCAAATTTCACTGCAATTGTATTTTCGGTTGACCCATCAGACGAGAATTCTGGAGAAATTCTATGGCTCGAAGTAAACGTTTCGTACTTGTACAGTTTTAAAATCCACATTGCCAGAATCCGGGAAGCCGCTACGGCGGAATAAACATTATAATTTGGGGATTTTCCTTTGCTCGAGAAGTTGGTCCATTTCGAGGGATTAAGAGGATATAGAAGAATCTTAAGCAAAAATATACTGGTCCACGCTCAAAGGAAAACGTAGAAGGCGGATATTTGGCACGGCGTTATTTTACAGAATCGCGATGGTCTCTAAAGATTCATTCACGATCCATAAGATCCTCGATTTTAATCAGTCCAAGACAAGAACAGCCGAAAACATATTTCAAGAAATGTTTAAATCTATCTTTAAGTTTCTATGAACCACGTATGCATAAATAATACACAACAGCTACCAGAGGATGCATTCGTTAACCGGGATTTAAAAAACGAGGAAAAAAATTCTTTCGCCCGGGTCACAGTCGCGATACGCAAAGAGCGCGCGGATGTAAAAATTCTATGGGCAATGGGAATTTTTTAGCGGCTTCTTTGCAGCGAGATCCTGGCGATAAATTTTGTAGGACTTTGAGCCAGTCGTTGTGAGAAAATGGATCGTAGCATTATCGCGTGAAAACGCGTGTACGCGTTCTTTTCTTCCCGAGTTCGCGTAAACACCGGCGATCGTTTCGTGTTCGCGTTACATTAGGGTGTAATGGCAGGAAAGATAAAAAATAACACCGTGGCTAACATTATCGAGCTTCGATACGTCTGATGCTAAAAATGCGACCGGTGCATGTTAAAATTTCAAGCGGAATTTAAATCATTCCTGGCGACGATCGATCGTACCATTAGTTCCTTTCTGTATGCAACTTCTCGGTAATTTCCCATTGTACTTTGCAAAAGTGCATCGATCCGCCTTGTCGATTATACCAATATTTTATAGACGCTCGAACACCTCGATGGCTGTTTTGACAGGTTCTAACAATATCTTTTTATCAAACAGAAGGTAATTAAATAAGAGAAACATCGATTTCTCAACGGTGCTGTGCTTGATTCATAGTCCCCATCACGCTATGCAAATGCAGTTAATTTGGATTAATTGGGGCACATCGAGATCGGAATAATTTAGTGCAATTAAGCGACCGTATATATAACATTCCATGTATATAACAGCAGGTTGCATAAAAATAACTCTCTCGTGACACGATTTTCGAAGTAGAAGTTTTAGACGTTCGAGGCATTCGCGTATTCGGGATTTCTCGATCGCGATGCCTCGTTATAAAACCGATAACAAACGCGTTGAAAAAACACATCGAACACACCGAGGTTCATGTCCCCACAGTTTCGAGACGAAGCCAGCACGCGAGACTTCCACGGGGGAATTCATCGCGAATGAAAAATTCATGCAACGCCAAAAATATCGTCTGTCGCTGACGAGAGGTTTTAAATATCCCGAAACTGTTTCCCGCCCCGGACGAGTATTCGTTTGTTTCGTGCACAAACTGTTTCCAAAGCAAATTACCCCATTTTACGAGCATTTTCACGACACGAGGATTATTTCAAATACAATCCCATTGATGTCAGCGCCTTGCGTGTAACTTGAACAGCCCTCGCCACGAATCGAACGCACGATGTTGATACTTTCGCGTAAAACTTGGAAACTACAGCTGTCGGTGGTTAGATGCATAGGGAACAGTTGTTCAGAATGTTGACCTTGGCTATATACAGGCGTAACTTCATTTACTTGCCTATGGTTTTCTTGATCTCGGTGTCGATATGTAAATAACTTATGGGTTACCCTTAAGCAATGTTTATTATTAGAAATTCGGTATCTTATTGCTTCGAAGATACATTGATGTTTAGAAATAGAATGTCTTTTCTTCCACACTCGATGTGAAAGATATTCAGTAAATAGTATCTTGTTAGAAAATAGGACTCAGCTTGAAAGGGATGATCCTAAGTTGTAGGTGGCAGTTTTAGTTTTAATTGTTCTAAAAAGTAGTTTTAGTTTTGTCATTTTAAAAAGGAACTACTTGTGTTCCACGCTCGATGTAAACAATATTCAGTACATAGTTTCTTGCTGGAAAATAGGACCAAGCTTGAAAGGGATGATCGTAAGTTTCAGGGTGGACGAAAGTCCGAAACGAGGTGGACCGCGGAGAGGAACGATTGATAACATTTCCGGGGGCGATCGTGGGCGAATCACGCCTAAGGTCGATCAAGGCCACAATCACGGGCGTATCGGTGAGAGCGTGCGTCTTCGTACTGCGCGTCGCGCTATATCCCGAGCCGAGCTGCGGGGCACGTTCAGTCTGCTTCGAGCCGCGGCTGCGACCACTCGTATAGCGATTCCACGTAACCGAACGAAAACAAAACGTACCTCGAGACAATCCGCCGTCAGGATCCAGGCAAGGTCTAGATTCTCGTCGAGGACACGTCGATCTCGTTCGACCGGGTGCACCACGAGTCGGGAAAGCAACGACAGCCCGCGTACGCCGCGCGCACCGTTTCAAGAGACCGCGTCCAAGCCCGGTTTAACATATGATCCCCACGGAAAGGCGGGAAATCTCGCGACCGTACATTTTGACGGACTCTGTGGTGGTAAGTCGACTTGGAACATTTTCGTCGTTTCACGTGCATGCAGTCGCCCATGGGCGAGAAATCGGTTCAAACTCTTTTACCTTACCTCGAACTTGACAGTGGGAACCCCTCATGTAAATTTCGATCGATTTGCCCTGTTGGAACTCTTGCAAGATTCCGTGGACTCGTGTCGATCTTTTAAAAGATTCACTGTATCGTACAGGTCTCCTAGTAATTATGGTACGATTAAGAAAGAAGTGATTCCACGCAAGTAGAAATAATGAGTATTGGGCGGACGCCAGAACTCGTATTCATTCGGACGAATTCTGATTCAGTTATCTCGAAAACGAAGCTTCGTAAGGGAAACTTTTATTCTAGATTTTCGTGTGTTCCATTTATGATTAACGAGACGTACGATATACGTATACATTGTAGATCTAATCGTATTCTTTCGAAATAAGGGTATCACCCAGTAAAGGTTTGTACTGCTAGATCTACCAGATACAAATCGATGTCGAGAATCGGTTACGTAAATATTCAAGGGGAAATTTAGTCAGGGATGATTTGTTTGAACAAGAAAACGTGACGTTTTCGCTCATTGGACGTCGAATGGCCAACTTACGACATGGAACGATGGATCGATGGTGGCAGTGGTTATCGCGACGCGTAATGTTGACTTTACGTGTGAATGTTATTGACATGGAGAACGGAAATAGAAAGGGGTAAATAATTGAGGCGAACTCGTCGAGCAGAGCCCGGGGGCGCACGAGCCTCCCGACACGATTAAAGTCGCCCCTTTTTCGGGTCGTCCGCGAAAGGGCTCCTGGTACGTGTTGAGGCAACTGCGCGAAAAGAGCTAAATGCATGCTGTATAATTATCCTCCGTGTACGCGTTCGCTCTTTGCAAAGACGTTTGTAAACAGAGAAACAGCTTGGGCATTGACCCTCTTCTTGGTGCGCTCTCGAATGTCACGCTCCAATTGCGCTAATTTCCGTACGAAGGATTTTAATTAAGGCGTGTGCCAGGCTCTTTCGAGCCCGTAAAAGATTTTGTCCAGCCAGGTCGCGGGTCACACGAAACAAAATGTCGGATTTGAACTAAATCGTTACGGGTTAAAATTGGAGAGGAATTGAATTTAACAACGAATTATAAATAATTCACCATGTGAACGGACAGATGTAGTCAATATTTTAATAAGACAGGTGGTATTTGTTTTTTTATTCAGCGGACTTCTGATTGCAGACCGACTTGACCCGCAAGTGGGTCAACAGACAATCAATGTCTTAAGCTACTTAGGCCAAGAGCAAATAGCACACGTTTTATTGTAATCAAAACGACACTTTGATCGATAGGCACACGGTTGTCTTCAGGTGAATCAATACTGTAGAATATATAGACACGAATAAGAGAGATAGACAGATTATTTCAAAATAACGGGTTAGAAAATAATTATTTCCAAAATATCGATACTTGAAAAATGAGACGGATTTGTAAAGAAGAGTCGAGAGACGAATGACACGGTTCTATTTACGAAATAAATGATTTCGTCGCGTGGGAGTCGAACGTAAGCCTAAAAATATATGGCGAAACGGAAACACGTTGATGGGATAGAAAAAGGGAAGGGAAATTCTTTGCGTCAAAGGAACTTCGGAGGAAAAATACCAATGTAAGAAGATTCGATGGCTCAAAGGAATATAAAGTTTTTGTGTACAAAAATAGCTTTCCGAACTCCGGGGCATACGCAGGGCAATATTGTATTTATTTTCATTGGCATAGCTTCAGTTTCGATAGCGAAATAAGACTTCGCCGTGGCTGAAAGCGATTCCCCGGACCAAGTGGGTCAAGATCGTAAATATTTCACGAATTTTAGTGCGGTCGGTCTATAGGACGGCTCGAATTAAATTTCGCAAGTTAAAAGGGCAATTAGGTGTGAAAGCGTATAGTAAATTAGTAATTTACAGCTACGGGCATACCTCTCGCTGCTGTGTAAAGAAACATCGCAGCCAGCCATACGTAGAACTTCACGTGTCTTTATCGATGCAGGTCGTACGATTGTCTCGAGGGTGTACCAATACAATTCTAACAGACTACATGTATAGTTCGAAGTTAATCGGTGCATTACTTAGCGAGATTTCGTGTCAAACAGTTTGAAAACGGTAATTTCGAGAAAAACGCGTTTGAGGTATCGTTTCAGGTCATCTTCTATCCGCACGCAACCTACTTCACTAAACCTCTGTAACTCCTATTTCGAATTTCGTTATAACATTTAACACGGAACTTACAGGCTAAGTAAAAAGGTCTCGACTCTCTTCCAGCCCCTCGAAAGGAACGAGTATCGTTTTAAACGTCCGATTTTGTATTCTACGATTGTATCGTCAACGCTAACGAAGATAATTAGCAAGCCTTTCCGCGGATTAATCTCTATGGATTTATCGCATGAATTGCTTAATCGTGGGTGGAAATTTCTACAGCTCCCAGCAGAATTGAAAGGGCAGACATGCTTCTACCGTTTGTAGTTTTCATGTTGCAGCGAGTAATTGTGTTTAATGAGTCGTGCTGCGCAAAACACGTACAATGCTGGGGCGAATAAAATTTGATTAGCAGCGCGGACAGAAAACTATGGAAAGGCAGAGATATGCGTTTTATTATAATTTAATGTAGAAAACGTTTATTCTTAGACCGGAGTCAAAGTTGGTCCGCTAAAATTTATTTCCACTCGTAAGTAAAATATTGTGTACCTCTCGTGTACTTTGTTATTAAACTTTTAGACTTCGCGCGTATTAATATCGTTGGAAAACTGACTTGGATATTAGCGAATGATCTTCCTCCAATCACGAATCGCAGCAATTTGTGAAAAGGAAATAAATTAGCAGTTCGTGGAAACTTTATTCCATGTTTCTTTTAATATCGATGTACCTTGCGAAGGAAGTTCTCGTTGGTAAATATACGTTTAAAATTCAGTGCAATTACTTAAGAGACGACGAACCGAACTCCAGCGCGGAGTAAAATCGAAATTTCTGAAAGGACAGTATTATTTCTGCGTGTGTTCGTTACGCGATACGCTTTTAGGTGGCTCAATTAAAATAATTTTCCATCCTGTCCGTGGGAAAAAAACCCGGGCGAAAAATGTGAATTTCGACGCATCGGTGTACGGAATCCTTGGCACAGATATAATATCGCGAGACGTATATTCGCCGACCATGATGAATTACGTCAAAAAGGTTTTTCCGCCGTCGTGTTCGTTCATAGCGGGTTGCTTAATGTTGCCTTTGCCACTTGGACCGTATTTTCGAAATATTTATTCTCGATCCAACGTTTTCGGACAAACGGCCGCTAGGCTAATGCCGGGGGAAATTCACTCGTTAAAAATTCACGAAAGTTTCGCTAATTTTTAGGTACTCCGTTGCCCCTCGGGTGAAAACGTTTGGCTTCCCTGGTCGTTGAAATTTTCCTGAATTACGAACGTATTTATAATGTCAACATACTCGAGCGAAACGTAGTAATTCCACTCGACTGGGCAACTTGTTTGGGCGCTTCAACTCTTCGCAGGGTTCCGGTTATAATTTTCAATTAATACAGTGATAAAGTTAAAAGCGTATTATTGATAATACGTGAATCTCCAACGTTTAATAGAATAATACATCGTCGTGAAATTTTATATTCGAGATAAATGACACGGGAAATTTATCAGTTTATTCGCTCGATTGAATATGACTCGTCCAACGTGTCTGACCATTACTCGTTGCTTCTACTTGCCTCCTAAATTATGTCGGCACTGTATCGTGCGCTTCAACTGGTTTCAACTAGTTGGAACACGATAAAATCGATGGAAAATAGATGATACCATACCGCGAGCGATGTTTCAAGTGGAGATAACGAGTATAGTCAGACACGTTAGCCAAGTCGTGACTCGTACTCGACGAACTTTCGAAATCAATTTTCTCGAGAACGAAGCGTTGCATGGTAATTTTTATTTCATACATTCGACATACACTCTCGCGTAGAACACCAGCTCCTAGAGAATAGATAATTGGAGAACGTTTTATCGTTCGACCACAGGACCAAAAACAAAAGTTCAATTTTATTCGACGAGCAAGCTGATCGAGTCGATTTTATTCCACCCATCCATTCGTCGAACTCACCTGTATTTAAACTGCGATTCCTGAATCTCCATATTCCGTTCTCGAGATTCCCGCAAAACGTCGTGAAATTTTTTATGTAAACGCCGTTTCCTCCCGTTTCCGCGCTACAAAGCCAAAAGGCGCGCGTTTCATAGCATTTTAAGTAGAAGGCGTTGTATATTCGAGGAGAGAACGACCGTAAGCCGTGGAATCTTACGCGCTAGCTCGTCTAAATCTACATGATACCGGGGTTTCTTTTACGTAGCGCCCTCCAAGCACACCAGCCGACTCGCGAAACGTTTTAACTACCGCGGCGGTATCATTTTCGAATGGTTTTTATTGCATCTGGCCGCATCCGGATGAAATAAGCGCGCTATGTTCTATTTTTGCCTGGCTCCTATCGATCGTAGAACACGAAGTCGTACAGTGTCAGTCACGTATCGCATTTATAGACGTTAAACGCGATTGCGGACCGGTGTTCCCGTGTTTTAGAAATTACCGCATTTCAACGCTGTCAGGGGTAAATTTCCAGCCATCGGTGCATGAAACGGATTGAAACTCTCCTAGAGAGCCAACCCGATGCGCTGAACATCGTTTTATATTATTGTTTCGTAGCGGGGGTACGTGGACTTATTTTAATTCCATACAATCACGAGACCATCCAAACTTTCGGTGTCCCTTAAAAATAACAGAAAATCGAGAAATTGAGAATGCTTCGTGATGAATCGAAAACAAAATTTTTTGCAACGTTCTGCGCTCGACACTCCGGAAAATGAGTCTCTCTAAATTATAAATCGACGAATTTCCCTCGGGGTCCGGAATTATGTTCATCTATCGAAAAACCACGCATTTACGAAATTGAATGCTGCTCTCGCGATTATTAACATTTTCGAACGACG